CACCTTCTGCTGCTTTCTCACAACACTAGTAGGAATCTGGATAAGAAGTGGAGCATCCAGGAATCAGACCAGTGCCAAATGTGATGCCAGTGTCACAGGCGGAGGCTTAACCTGTGATGCCACAGAGATGAGCCCCATGAATTACTTTTAAATCCTTAACTTCCTTATTAATTAAAAAAAATCTTAGTTTCGCTCTTTATGATAATTAGAGGAACTCACAAAAAGCAAATTAATAATGACAAAATAATTACTTAGAAATAATTCTTATTGAGGTGCTTTTTGGTGTTTAATTCTATTTTACTACTATACTGGAAGTCTAGAGTTATATATGGGTCATACTAAAATCATCAAACATTGAGTATTTTTATTTTAGAATCCAGCTGTTGATGTGTTATATACGACTGCACATATATAGTATTTTTTAAAAAGAATTTAAAATATAAGAGGTTGATTGATAGAATGCTCCAAATTATTTCACATTAATACAAAAACATTTTATTAAACTATTTCTAGATCGCAATGTATTCTAAAATTTCACATAATAGTATACTTGCGATGGACTGGATGTTCTCCAAAGGTTCTGAAATGTAAAATAAATAAGAATATTGAAACTACAAATGAAGACTAAAATGATCTGTATGAGAACATACGAAGTAGGCAATAGCATCATATTCTGATGAATGAGTGAAGAAGGCAAATATTTTTAAATTATTGCTGTTGGCAAGATCATGATGATTAACAAAACAATGCATCAAATTTCAGTCACTGTGATTTGGGCTATAATAAAATCATCCCTTTATGTAGCAATCATACTACCAACCACCAATTTTTTTAAGCAACACATAAATTGTCTACATTTGAATATTAACTATAGCAATTTATCCAATGTATTATTTGTATGCTAATACTTTTTAATTATTGAGTCAAACAATGCTTCTTGTACTATGTTCAAATTAAAATAAATTATGTTGAATTGGGGTAGAAATGCCTAAAATATTAACAAAAGCAGTCACTAAAATATCCTTAAAAAAGAAAATATTTATATTTCATATGGCTGACTTAAAAATATTATGGAAATTAGAGATGATTAGATTATTCTATATATTACATATTATTGGAGTAGTTGTAATCTTAAGTCTTCTCAGGCATGTTCAAATTACCTAAGTGATCTGATTCAAATAACAAAAATATAACTGAATATTGACGTGTCTATTCAAAACTATTCTACAGGACTATTAAGAAGCATTATTTTTTTTAAAGATTTACTTTTTTATTTGAAAGGTAGAATTACAGTAAGAGAATGTAAGACAATTACATTAAAATAATGAGAGACAGAGAGAAAGACAGCTCTTCTATCCACTGGTTTATTTCCCAAATGGCCACAACAGCCTAGGCAGGGCCAGTCCACAGCCAGGAAGATGAACTCCATCCAGGTCTCCAGCTTTGTGATAGAGACCCAAGTAACTTGGACTATATTCCTCTGCTTTCTCAGGTACGTTAGCAGAAAGTTGGATTGGAAGCAGAGCAGCCAAGACTTCAACTGGTGCTTGTATGAGATGTCAGCATCATAGGCAACAACATAACCTGCTATACCACAGTCTTGGCCCTCTATGAATTTTAGTTTACTTTTTTCTTTCTTGAGCTAACATTGATTATAAGTTTTATATTTAGGGTATGGCTTATTTTGATATGTGCATACATTAAGTAATAATTTCCCAAATCAAGCTAATTATTATATCCATCAATTCACATAACTATCTTTTCTGTGTGTGAAGTGAGAACATTTAATTTCTACTCTGTAATTTTCAAGTTTACTCTAAATATTACTAACTATAGTCACTATGTTGCATAATAAAGCTTTAGAATATGTTCATCAGGGACTAGCATCATGGCACAGTAGGTTAATCCTCTGCCTGTGACACTGGCATCACATATTGGCATTGGTTTTAGTCCGGCTGCCCCTCTTCCAATCCAGCACTCTACTGTGGCCTGAGAGGGCAACAGAAGATGACCCAAGTGCTTGGGCCCCTGCACTGCACCTGCATGGGAGACCAGGAAGAAGCACCTGGCTCCTGGCTTTGGATCAGAGCAGCTCTGGCTGCTGTGGCCATTTGTGGAGTGAACCAATGGAAGGAAGACCTTTGTGTCTCTCCCTCTCACTGACTGTGACTCTACCTCTCAAATAAAGAAATAAAAATCTTTTAAAAAAAAGAATATGTTCATCCTGTCCACCTGAAATTTTACCCTTTGACAAATATCACCTATGACAAACAACCACTACCTACCCTCAAGTCCCTGAAAACCACTATCCTATTCTCTATTTCAAAGAGTTTATAAGCTTTGCCCATTGCACATGTGAGAACAGGTGGTGTTTGTTTCTTTGTGTCTGGTTTAACATAATTTCCTCCAGGTCCATTGTTCTGGGCAAATGACAGGATTTTATTTTTTAAGGCTGAATAGTATTTCATTATATACAAATACTCCTTGACTTACTATTGGGTTACATTCCAATAAACTTATTATAATTTAAGAATCTAATCTGTGAGTTAAGCCAATACTTGTGATGTCAGCATTCCTTATGAGTTTCCATGCCAGCCCCAACTGTTCCACTTCTGAGCTAACTCCCTGCTAACACATCTAGTAAGGCAGTAGAATATGGCCCAACTACTTGGGCCCCTGCAACCAAGGTAGGAGACCACAATGGAGTTCCAGATTCCTGGCTTTGGCCTTGTTTAGACCAATCCATTATGGCCATTTGGGGAGCGAGCCAATGGATAAGACATCTCTTTCTCTATCTCTCCCTCTCTTTATTTCTGTAAATCTGCCATTCAAATAAAGGAGCAATTAAAAAAAGAAATTCACAAGTCAAAATGGGTGTAGTATACCACATTACCAAATATGATAGCTTAACAATATATTACATAGTAGAATGTCAATTGTTTACCCTCATGGTAGCATAGATGACCAGGAACTGTGACACTGTTACTGCCCAGCATCATGAAAGAGTATGATACTGCATGTTGCTAAACCAGGAAAATACCAAAATCAGAATTTGAAATAATGTTTTTATGGAATATGTATCATGTGTGCACCTGATAAAAAGAATATTGCCAGCTGGATTATATGTAAGTCAGATATATATGCTGTTTATAAGAAAACATGTGAAATAAGAAGATCTGTGGGATGGAAATAAGAGGGCATAAAGGTATGTAATACTAACTTCCTAAAAGGCTATGTTGTGTTATTAATATTAGACAAAACAGAACTTTAAGTACATAATATTATGAGAGTCAAAAGGATATTTCATTATAATGAGAAGTTAAGTTCAACAGAAAAACGCATATTAATGCCTGAGAGTAGGAAAAGAGAAAATAAACTTCATTATTTAAAGAAGGAACAATGTTTTGTGTAGTAAGGAAATGTTATATAAACTTTAAAAATATTACAAATACATGAATTTAGGAAGATGCCAAATACTCAAATATGAAAAAAAAGTTTATATATTTTTATATACAAGAAAAATACTTCAGATATAATTTTAAAAATAGCCTTATAAGGATATTATATAAATATAATTATATTAATATATAATATATTATATTATATATATTAATATATATAATATATAATATATTATATTATATATAATATATAATATATTATATATTAATATATAATATATATTATATATAATATTATATATAATATATATAATATATAATATATTATATATATAATATATAATATAATATATTATATTATAAATATAATTATATATAATATAAGGATATTATAGAAAATGCCTAGTAATAAATACTGAAGATTATACAAGATCAACTCAGTGAAAAGTAGAAAATATCAGTAAGAGAAAGTAAAGAATTAATGAAGGGATATGCTGTGCTGGCATCATTAAGACTTAATATTGTCAACAAATTTGTTTTCCCAAAGGTGGTATATAGATTGAGTGCCTTCCTAATCAAATTGCTAATAGGAATGGTTTGCGGAAAATGTCAGCCAGACTTTAAAATTGGTATAGAAAATTGATGATATAGAATTGCTAACCTAAGAAATGAATTTATGCTAAAGTATATCAAGCTTTTCTAAAAGGACATTAGTGAAGACAGTATTTTATTGGTCAAATATATAGATATATATCAATAGTACAGAACAGAATTGTGAAACAAACTTATACATATATTCAATTACTTGAATTGCAACAAAGATTTCACTGCAAAATCAGTAAACATGGAAAATATGAATAGACATCAGTAATATACTATGTATGCTAATGTAATTACAAATTTATCATATTTTAAACATTCTCAAAGAAACATAATATTCTAATCATGAAATTTAGCTCAGTAACATTTTCTCTAAGAAATGGACATTAAAGACTTACTGTAGAATTAAGAACGTCATTGAAAGATAATGCAAGATTTAACAAAATGAAAAGTTCAGTCATCTACTGGGAGAAGATATTTAAGTCACATGTATCTTATTATATGGTCATACCTAGAATATCCTATAAATCAATGAAACAGAAAAAATGGTTATTTTTAAAGATTATAAATGTTTTAAAAGGCAGAGTTATGTAGAGAGGAAAGAGGGAGAGAGGGAGAGAGGGAGGGAGACAGAGAGAGAGAGAGAGAGCGAGAGAGCGATCCTCCATCTGCTAGTTCATTCCCCAAATAGCTGCAATGGCTAGGGCTGAGCCAGGCCAAATCCAGGAGCCTAGAACTCCATCAGTGTCTCTTACATGGTTGGCAGGGTCCCAAGCTCTTGGATTATCATCCACTGCCTTTCTAGAGTTCATATGAGATGCCAGCATTGCATAGGTGGTTGAACCCCTGCACCACAAATTTGACTCCCAAAAATGTTTTTAAAATGAGACATGGGGCCAGTGTTGTGGGCACACAAAGTTAAGCCATTACTTAGAATTTCGGCATCCCATAGAGGAATACTGATTCAAGCCCAAACTGTTCTGCTTCTGATCTAGCAACCTGCTAATGCACCTGAGAAGGTAGCAGAGGACAGCCCAACTACTTGGGTCACTTCCACGCCTATAGAAGATCAAGTCATATTTCCAGGCTCCTAGCATCAGCCCAGACCAGACTCTGCTGTTGCCATTATTTGTGAGTGAACTAGTGGATAGAAGATCTCTCACTCTCCATCTCTCTCTGACACTCTGCCTGTCAAATAAACAAATAAATCTTCAAAAATAAGATAAAATAGAGAACTCTTGGATACACACTAAGGCTAATGACTGGTGAATTTATAGACGAAATCTTTAATATTATCCCCCAAAGAAGTGCAATCTATAATAGTAATGGTATGCCAAAACATAGCAATGGAAGAAATAAATTTATCTAAGTGTTGGTATTTTGGGGATTCCTAGATGGCAGAATAGGGGAAGACATACTGTGCTGGCTAGGCATACACAGTAAAAAAAAATAAAAGTGTAGGAAGTGCAGGGAAGAATTAGAGAAAATACGGCAGTGGATGGAAATCCTACAGAAGGAAGAGGACGCCATGAATAACTGTAGAAGGTGTGGACATGAAGCACAAACATGTATACAACAAATGACTGCAGCAACTGAGAGATGGAAGGGAGATCAGACTGCAGAAACTCATGGCGATATAGCCAAAGGAAAAGTGTGGTGTGAGTCCAGTCTGGAGCTAAGGGCTAACGGTTAACTGTGAACTCAGTGGAAGTAAAAGGGGCATGTTTCTCTCACCCCATCCTCCCCACTTCAGCACCTGTCGCTCAGCAGAGAGAGGGTAGATGCCATAATGGGCTTGGGCAGTAGTGGCAGAAGCCTTTGTGCATGTGCACAACAACTGAGTAAGATAGGATGCTGTCTTCTCAGCAAAACTGAGATCAGCTCCAGGAAGAGGGCAACATTTTTGGCCAGTGGCTCTTGAGTATGTGTGTGATACAATATTCTAGAAGAGGGAAAATCCACAGTCTCCGCTGACTGTGAGCCTGGCTGGGAGGATTGAGTGGGGGCTGGGCATCTACGCAGGACTGTGAGGCACTCTCAAAGTCCCAACATACCACAGGCTCTGGGGCTCAAGCCGCCTAGCTGGAGATGGTTCAGGAAAAACTTCCTGTTTGTAGACCTAATAGGCTGACAGGGCAGAGAAGAGCCTCTTCTCCCAGTGACTATGGGAGCCTTGTGTGCTGAGACTGTGGGGACTTGGTGGCTTCTTGAGAGTGTGCAGGGTACTGCTGGCTCTCTTAGAAAATCAGTAGATGAGTTCACATGTGCTCAGGAGACTAAATATTGCTTTCCTAGCTAGATGCCTTAGCAGAAAGCTGGATTGGAAGGGGAACTCTGGGATTCGAATCAATGCTCATACAGGATGCCAGTATTGCAGGAAGCAGCATAACCTGCTTTCCCATGACACCAGCCCATCTTTATGACTTCTTGAAAAAGAGTTGTTATTACCCTGGAAATCATTATTTTTCAAAACACTAGATGATGAGTCTGATGTTAGGAAATGATTTTGCACATGGCAAATGAGATGTATTTCTGAAAAAAAAAATTAATATTTTAAAATTTCATTTATTTACCTGGAAAGCAGAGTGCCTGAAAGAGAGAAAAATAGAGAGGTATGTTCTGTCTGTTGATTAACTCCTAAAATGCGCACAACAGCTAGGACTGGGTCATGCAGGAAGCTAGAACTCCATTCAAGGCTCTCACATGGGTGGCAGGGGCCATCTAAGTGCTTTTTTCCTCTGAGCAATAGCAAGGAGTTGGATTGGAAAGTGGAATATCTGGAACTCAAACTGGTGTTTCTTAACCCATTGTACTACAATGCCCCCAGTGGTCTTCCTGCACAAAAGTATTAGTTAATTAAAGCCATCAATCAAGTGATGAAGCAAAGGAAATTATTTGAGATGGAGAGGTAATGGTAATATAAGTAGTGTTAAGTAAATAAAATGAGCATTTAGAGAAAATTGATTAAAATTACTATAGCAGATTTGTTAAATAATTGACAACAAAGTCACTTGTCTATTGTTTTTCATAGAAGTAATAAAAAACAGCAAAAAACTTGATATTCCATAACTAAATAAAACACACATGTACTTCAGGTTAAGTATTGAGATTTATTGTAATTTTTATATGTGCCAATAACCAAATACATATGGGAGAGAACTAATTATTTTGTAGTGATTCTCATCTGAATTCTATCCTTTGATAGCAACACAACTAAGGATAAAGCATTATCCTCTCATTTGTAAAATAAGAATAATAAACGTGGCTCATAAGTGAGGACCAGAAATCAGAATTAAATTAGATAACATAAATATTCTTCTAGCTCCTTACATGTACCTTTGTAAGTACTGTCAGTTAACCAACTAGCTATTTTAATGTTATATGTATTTGGTTGTACTGGCATATGTAGACTAGTGATGTTAATGAATATTTCATATTATTAACTCAGAATTACAGTTATTCACATCCTTTTTAAACTGTAATTATCCCTCTAAAGATACAGCGCTCATCTGTGCTCATCACATTTCGGTGGTGATAAAGGAAAACCAAGAGAGACCTGGTGGAGAAGGCATTGAATGACTGATAAATTTCCTATAGCCCCTGAAGATGAATAATACATAAACAAGACCTTCAAAGATCTCTGTAAGTAGAGTTATTTGGAACTTGTGTAATTTTCTTACATTTACAAAACAATTATATCTAGCTTCCTGGATTTTTGTTTTTATTTTTGTTTCGAACAGAATGGAATGAATGACATACATTATTGAAATCAACATCATATGAAATGCAATTCAAGGCAGCAGGTGCAGTTGGTTCTTATAAAATAGAAATATATTATCCCAATCTATAATAGTGAATGAAAATGATAATAAAACCCAGATATTCACCAAATTATTAAGAACCAAATTGCCTTTTATCATACCTCAAATATTTAGGGAAAGAATCCATTTTGAGAGCACTAAAATGAAAGATTCTTTGTAAAAATGTTAATTGTAGAATTTTTAGAATTTTTAAATTTAAAAATTACCTTGAAGTTAGTTATCTTCCCACTCTTTCCAATTCCTTACCATCCATTTATCCTTACCATTCACTCAAATGTTCTGTCCAAAATGCATCAAAATGTACTCTTAAAAGTCAAACTAGCTTCTAAAACACAATGTATAAAATGTTGTATACTTTTCTTTTCCTTTTTTAAATTAACAGATATATAAAAAATGCACACATTTTTGTATATGATATCTTGTTCCATTTATATATTAGGTAATATTAAATAACAGTAAATATATTTTCCTTTCAAGAATTTAGCATTTCTTTAATGTAAGTACATCCAAAATTCTATCTTCTAGAGTTTTGTTAAATAGAGAAATGGGGGCCAGAGCTTTGGCATAGTGGGTAGCCTGCAGTTCAGGCATTGCAAAGGGGCACCAGTACCTGTTCTAGCTACTCCATTTCCCATCCAGCTCTTTGCTTATGGCCTGGGAAAGCAGTGAAAGATGGCCCAAGTGCTTGAGTGCCTGTACTCAACATTGGAGACTGGAAGAAACTCCAAGCTCCTGGCTTAAGATCAGCCATTACAGCCATTGCAGCCATTTGGGGAGTGAACCAGTGGATGGATGACCTCTCTCTGCCTCTGCCTTTCAAATAAATAAATATTTTTAAAAATAAATAAATAGCATATGAATAATACCTTTAGTCACCAGAATGTGTAGCAGAATGCCAAAAACTTCCTACTCCTACCTGTCAACCTTGCCACATACCTTCCTTCCAACTTCCCTTCCCAGTCTCTGGTAACCACCACTGTATTTTTAAATCCTATGAGATCACCTATTTTTAAGATGCCACATATCAGTGACATCATGTGGTACCTGTCTTTCTGCATTGACTTTTTTTTTTTCACTTAGCATAATGACCTCCAATCCCACACATGTTATTGCAAATAACAAAATTTCATCCTTTTATGATGGAGTGATATCTCATTGTGTACATGTACCTTATTTTCTTTACTCATTCATCTTTGGAAGGACACTTACGTTGTGTCCACGTCTTTCTGCTATTATGAATAGTGCTGCAATAAATATGGACATTCAGATGGGTGACAAATAGGTTTCATTTCCCTTGGATATACACTTGGGAATTGCTGGATCATACAGAATCTCTACTTTTAGCTTTTCTGAGAAAGCTCCATACTATTTTCCAAAATGGCTGTACTATGTACATCCCCACCAATAGAGTACTAGGGTTCCCTTTTTTCCCACATTCATGCTAACAGTAGCTATCATTTGTCTTTTTGATCGCAACCAATCATACTGCAGTGAGGCAATTAGAAATCTGTGTGAATATGAATCCTTATATCAGTTTTAACTAAATTAATCAACCTGTCTTTCCCTAATACTTTCCTTTCATTGTTTGTTTTGCCATTTGGTAGCCTGGTTCTTAAACTACTTCTAAGATGGCAGTGAAAGAAGGCTTATGCTTAGTGCTGTTTCTCACTAATCACGGCTGACCCTAATTCTCTGTTGTTTTCACCCATTCTCTTCCCTTGAGGTGTATTATCGCAATTTTATTAATCTTTTTATCCAGATGACCCCGGAAATCCTCTTCTCTCAAACTTTATGATCTTAATTATCCTACAGTTAATTGATAAAAACATTCATGTATTCAAAATACTTCCTTGAGAATTTACTAGAGAAAAATAGTAAAGAAATTTTTGATTTTATGAAGTATTTCCAGCTTCAGTTAATTATTTGAGGAAAAGAAAAAGAGTGGAAGAAATATAATGCAATTGACAGATGGGTGTATGGATAGGGGAAGGTATAAATTTGAAAAAAAAAATAGTAAAAATACTGCAAATTCCATAGTTTTAAGTCTCAAGATCTTGACATATTTTTCTTACTTCACAGTAAGAAACATTCTCAACTTCTTGTATTATATGATAAGTTACTAAATCTTTGCATCTCTTTCAAATCTTATATCTAGCCTTGCTGTTTGATGCACACCCACTGCAACTCCATATTTATAGGCTTAAAAATGTCTATATGTCTATAAGTAAGGTTAATAATGTACCATAAGCCGGTGCCACAGCTCACTAGGCTAATCCTCCGCCTTGCGGCGCCGGCACACCGGGTTCTAGTCCCGGTTGGGGTGCCGGATTTTGTCCCGGTTGCCCTTCTTCCAGGCCAGCTCTCTGCTGTGGCCCGGGAAGGCAGTGGAGGATGGCCCAAGTGCTTGGGCCCTGCACCCCATGGGAGACCAGGAGAAGCACCTGGCTCCTGCCATCGGATCAGCGTGGTGCACCTGCAGCAGGGCGCTGGCCGCGGTGGCCATTGGAGGGTGAACCAACGGCAAAGGAAGAGCTTTCTCTCTCTCTTTCTCTCTCTCACTGTCCACTCTGCCTCTTAAAAAAAATAATGTACCATAGCCACAAAAGCAACCCCTGCTGAATTTCCTATTCCCATTGTATTGGTCAGTTTATTTAATCACCTGCAATATGGTGTATATGGTATTGGCCTTACAGAGAAGCAAATAGCTTCATATTATTTCTTGCAAGTGAAACATAATTTTGTGTTAATTTGTTATTGGCAATGAATAATTATATATATTTATGGGGTACATTGTGATGTTCCCTATATGTTGAACAAATACTGTGCAAGCTAATTAACATATCCATCACTTCACAGGCATTCTTTTTATGGTAAGGGCATTAAAAATCTGTTGTTTAAGCAGTTTAGAAATTTGCAATCCATTATGACTAATTGTGGTCATCACACAGAACAACAGACAGCTAAAATTATTCTTCTAATCTAACTGGAACTTTGAACCATTCGAACATCTCTCCTTTCACCATTTTTCCCCTCTAGCCCCAGCCTCCAGCAAATACCCTTCTACTTTCTTCTTATAAGATGGAGAATTTTAGATTCCCCCTATAAAGGAGAGCTTACAGTATTTAACTTTCTGTGCCCGACTTACTATCTTGTTATATAAACTCAGAGAATGCCAGAGTAGATGTTTAATGGTTAAGATGCCCACATCCCACATTAAAGTGCTTGAGTTCAATTCCCAGCTCCAGTTCCTAAGTCCTGTTTCCCACAGCGGCAGATCCTGGAAAACAGCAGTAATCACTCAAGTACTAGGTTCCTGTCACCCGCATGGCAGACCTGGGTTGAGTTTCCAGCTCCTGGCTCCAAACATGTCTTAGTCTGCACAGTTGCAGGCATTTAGGAAATGAACAAACAATATGGGCTCTCCTTGCCAGTATGTCTGCTCTGCCTTCCTGGTCAAGAAAAAAAGAGGAATTATACACTTCTCCCTAAAGAGCAATAATCATTCTAATTGCATGGTCAATTCCTCCCTCTAATTAGCCTTTCAAAGGGTGTATTTCACTTGCTCTGAACCACTAAACTTTGAAGATTCTTTAAAATATTTTGCAAAACCATATTTTATTATGACTTGGATTGACTCATATTTTACTACTCAACAGAGAAATCCCTTTAAAACTGTTGTGTAACAGGACTTCCTGCCTTTCTTGTTGCTTGATGTTTAAAATTTACATGTTCTTACCATATTCTATGTGGTTTGCCTTTATTTACTCACATGACTCTTAACAACAACATAATGCAGTACATTTCATTATCTTTACAATTATACTATTGGCTCAAGTTTATACAGCTAACAAGTGATGAAATCAGGATTTGACCAAGCTCAGGCTGATCCTCTCTAGTGTCTATGCCTGTAAACATTACTTACATCCAAGTTCTATGTTTTCATCACCATTTTGTAATTTTTAGGCTTAAAATAGGTAACTAAAGTATGGAAAAGTAATGCAAGTGTTATGAGCAGGCAGACACATGACAATTTGTGTCTATTTCTGATGAAGTATCACAGCATGACCATGTCAATATTTTACCTCCCCTAAGAGCTGCTTGCCCCTTCTACACTCCCCATAAAGTTTCCCAGAGATGCCTTGTCTGGACAGAGTGATGCCTGTCGCCTTAGCTCTCCTCTTGCCAATGCTGCACTCCCAGTTCTGTAAGGTGTAGGAAACCTAGACCTTTGACAGAATTTTGCTTTATACTTCAAAATTTTGTTATTGGCTTACTGATTACAACATTTGAATTCTAATCTAGAAAAAGACTTTAAAGCTACATTGTGCTATCAATCTTATGATTTGTTTTTACATGCTGTAATATGGACACTGTCCAAAGCCCTGAGTTCACTTCCCTTTTCTTTCTTCTTGCAAATTAACTTTGTATTTCACTAAAAGTTTGCTTGTTTGTTTGGCTTTTTTTTTTTATTTTTTAGGATTGAGCATGACACAAATTTTGATGTAAAGCAAGAAGATGGGATAAAACAGTATTCTACATCTTTTTTTAGCTTAATTTTGATTTTCATCTTCCAAAATACCTAAGTCCACAGCTTATTGCTTGATAATCATTTAGTTGAGTCTAAAATAGAATATTGCCATCATTTGGTTAATTTTGATTAAAGAGTTAGGGCTTCCTGCCAAGTTGATTAACTCTACATGAGGGAAGATAAGTAAAGGATATCTATTTTTAAGATTTTATTTATTTATTTGAAAGGCAGAGTTACAGAGATAGAGAGAGACAGAGAAAGATCTTCCATCTGCTGATTTACTCCTCAAATGG